GCGCCGGAGGTGGCTCCGCGCCCCCGCGGGGACAGCTCTGCCTCCCTAGGGTGGGAAAGGGGGGCGGGTAGCGCAGGCCACGGGGTCACCGCGGCCACGCTTCCTGCTGCAGGACACCACCCCCGACGAGCTCCTCTCGGCCGTCTTGACCGCGGTTCTCCAGGACGTCAAGCTGAGCCCGACCCAGCTGGGAGACATCTGCGTGGGTGAGCTCGCTACCCAGGCCCTGGGCTCGGCACGCTTCGCCCTCCCTCCCGGCCGGAGCCCTCCAGCACTTCACCACCCCCAGGCACGGGGGCGGTGTTTTCCCGGAAAGTTTGTCTTTTTAGGGCTGGACTCCGCCCCGCCTCCAAGCACTGGCTTCGCCCTCCAAGCACATTTCTGCGCTTTAAGTGGTAGGAAGCAGAGCTGTCAAGTGACAGACATTCCAACGCCAAGACACTGGGCACCGGGGTTTGAGGACATCCTAGGAAACAGAAAACTATAGGGTTCTTACTGACCCCCGACATCCAGTCTGTGCTACAACAGAATGGGGGGAGCGCCCCAAGCAGTCTAGTCCAGTTCCTCGCTTACAAATGGAGAAACTGAGGCCTGGGGATTTGCAGCAGAGCTTGGGCTCTGAGTCCAGAGCTGCCTGATCTTTGGTCAGCCCTCCCCCCCCTTCCCCCCACCTCTACTCTTCTAGCCTCAAAACATAACATCATGTGGCAAGAGCCTTATTAAATACTGTGGGTGCGGAAATCGCCGTGCCGCCTACGGAGTGAGAGCGGGGATTGGCAGAGGACACCTGGGGAGGTGTGCCGTTTCAGAACCCCGTCTCCCTAAGTGACAGAACCAGTTTGTTAGACACCAAGCTTTGCATTGCGTTCTTTCCTTTCCATGACACCTGCCCACTGTGTGCCGATTTGGGAAGGTGGGGTGCACGGGGCGAGGGAGCTTGGGACCCTCAGGGACTGTGTCCAGTGTATGACCAGGAAGAGCTGCTATAGAATTGCTTCCCCAGCTCCACACTTTGAAATTTCAGAGCCTCCAGGGAGCCTGCTCAGGGCTTGTGTTTCTGAAGAAAGATCTGGAATGTTCCCTCTCTGGTATTCACACATGTACCTTAGTGCCCCAAACACCACTGGGCACTGAGTAAAGGTTTGTTGTCCACAGGAAATGTGCTGCAGCCGGGGGCCGGGGCAGTCATGGCCCGAATCGCCCAGTTTCTGAGGTAAACGTCCAGTTCTAGCGCTGGGTTGGCCAGGTTGCCTCTCGAGTGGGCTCAGGCTTCGGGGAGCTCAGCTTGGGGATGGGAGAGGATCAGGTTGGACTCCAGATCTGGAGGCAGCCAGGGTTCAGGAGAACCCTACCTTTCCTCTACTTGGAAGGGAGAGGTGTTACCTGCCACGGGGCCGAGACAAACAGGGCCTTTGGGACTGGAGCAAACGATCTCTGTGACCTGAATTGTAGCCAAAGTCAATTTAGCCCAGGTCAACTTTTGTAAGTCCTGTTTGGACTCTGCCTCTTTTGCCAGGTCGGTAACCAGGCAGGTACGCTGAAGAGGGACGCTCAGCTTTTTTGCCAGTTGAGCAGGAGGAGACCTTCAGGCATTTCTCGGGACAAGGCAGAGCCCTAGGCAGGGGGTGGCCCAGGAGGGTCCCCGGTAAACTTGCCCGTCACTTCTTGCTGTCCCAAGACGGAGGAGGAGAGCTTATGTTACCAGTGTTTTCACGTGTAGATCTAAGACCCACTTAGCTATGTACACCCAACCGCTTAGAGAAGAAATAAGGGGAATATCAGCCGGTGAAGGAACAGGAAAACTGACAAAACCTCTAGGGGTTAGAAGAGGCTCCGGCTGCTTAGCCTGGAGTGCAAGGACTCCCAGGATCTGGCTCCAGACTTACCTTCCAGCCTTATCTCCCAGCTGCTGACTGGCCTTGACTCTTCCCCTCTCAGCCAGCCTGTCTGCCTACTGTTCTCTGTGCTGGTCATGCTTTCCCCTTGCAGTGCTGTCCCTACCCCCTCTCCACCCTAGCTAAACTCTGCCCAGTTTCACCATTTGGCATGACTTCCCTGAGCTCCCAGGCTTAAAATGAGGACCTCTCCAGGAGCTAGCCCTGTGCTTCCTCGTGATGTTCTTTCCCATCTCGCTCTGTTGTTTCTGCCTCTGCTAGTTGATTCATCTTCTGTATTGGTGAGGCATCTTCTAGGGCACTGTGTGATAAGCATGTCAGCACCCCTCAGGCGGTATGTTGTACTGAGGAGATGTTCAGTGTGCACTTGGGTGGGGTGAAGGGATGGTAACTAGAGAGCGAGGGGACCTAGGAGACTGTCTGCACCCCAGAATCACCAGAGTGCTTCGACACCCACAGTTTAGTCCATGGATCTGGGGAGGTCTGGTGATTTCCCCAGGGCAGGTTGCATGAGGAGGGGCAGCCCACCAGTTTCCAGGGCAGGGACCAGGGTGGGAGCCTGGAGGAACCCACCAGAACAAGAAATGTTAGAACGTCTGGTACCCGTCAGGATCGCCCACCCGCTGGGAGCAGGCTTTGCAGAGAGAAGGGGAACAGAAAGGGTTAGCCACGTGGTTGCTCCTAAGGCTGAGGAGGAGAGATGGTTTCTGGCCTCATACTTCCTTTTGCTCTAACTGTCTGTTCTTTGGGAGAAGAAGATTCAGTTTTCCTTTTTTTAATCTTCAAAGGGAAAGAAGGATCCCTGTGGCCTAGCTAGCTTTCCCTTGCCTTTGGCTCTGCTTGGCCTGGATTGAAGAGAATCACAGGATGGGGAGGGGGTAGGGGGGGGGAGCATGTGCTTGTACGCCCTGGGAACAAGTGCCTGTAGAGATGGGGTCTGCCCAGTCGGGATCTGGCCTAGAGAGGGGAAAGGCTGACGGTGGCCTCACCTTCTGTTTCAGTGACATCCCAGAGACTGTGCCTTTGTCCGCTGTCAATAGACAGTGTTCTTCTGGGCTCCAGGCAGTGGCCAACATCGCTGGTAAGTTGTGACTGACTGGGTGGGTGCCCATTGCCACAGCCTGGCCTGGTGCCTGGCTCTGTGGATTTGGGTCAGGAGTCACTATCTACTGGGCAAGCAGTGAGGATGCCTGAGGGGACTCTCATCCCAGAAAGAGGAGGAGCGCCCTGCACTACCCCCAGGCTTTTCTGGACACTCTTGGGCCTTCCCAGTCTGAGGCTGGGGCCCACGTAGAGACCAGGTGGGGAGAGGCCCCTGCTCCCAGAGCAGGACGACTCCGCGGATGTTTATGACATGCTTTTGTTGCAGGTGGCATCAGAAATGGGTCTTATGACATTGGCATGGCTTGTGGGTAAGAATTCCTTACTGCCAGAGCTTCTTAACCAGCTTGTAACAATAAACTAATATTTGTCTCCTGAGGTCAGAGAGGCCGGTGACTTCAGGATGTTCCCCCTTAGGCAGCTGCCTGGGAGAGGGTTCCTGCAGATTCGGGTTAGGAGCCCTCAGCTCTGGCTGCTCAGGAATTGCTCGCACCTCTCACTAATGGGGAAAGGAAGTGGGCTTTTCAAAGCTTGCATTCTTGGAACCTGGCGGGCTGGGAACTGGGCAAGCATGAGAAGATGGAGCTGTCGGGTTTCCTCCCACGGCCCATGTTCAGTCACGGCGCTGCTGAGGGAGAAGTTGCAGTTTTGGTTCCCTAAAGCCCGGGACAGCTGCTACTCTAACTGGTTTGTTCCCTTTCCGAGGCTGCCTCCTGTCCTCCACCCGGGAACCAAGGGGCATGGTCAGACCTGTGGTGGTTTGGTCACTGTCCGCTGTGGCTCCATCTTTGGCTGCAGCTTAAGGGGCTGCAGAAGTTGGACTGGGCAGTGTCTCGCGGGAGGGACAGGGCATGGGGCCCAGGCGTGGTGGGCATCTGGTGCTGGGAGGGCAGGCCGAGCAAGAGCTTTGGCAGGCCCGGTGGGGAGGGGGGGTGGCGAGTGGCCCCTTTCAGGCCCCCTGGATAGCGTTTCTTCACTGGAGCATTGCCGGGCCGTTTCGGGGCTGTGCCCACTGGTGCTGGGTTGTATTGCCCTGTGTCTGCAACTGTAAATAAAACCAAAGGCCGCACTACAGGGACTTTGGACAGGAAAGCGCCACTGCCCAGTCTGCCCTCTGATCAGTCTCATGTCCCTCTATCTTACTGCGGGAGGGAGGAGTGGGGGTAACTGGGGAGAAGGCTGGAGCCTTCGTGAGTTTCTTAGACGTGTCTGAGGCCCCCAAGCAGGTTAAAGACCTTGTTACTAGGATATTAAGGTCTGAGCCAGGACTGTCCCCCACGTCACAGGCTGACTGTCCCTTCTTCGATCATGAAGAATATCCCAGAACATCCTAATTAGGAGTGGGCCCTGAGGCCAGAGTACCTAAATGTGGATCCCGGCTAAATGACCATGAACAAGTTAGCCTCTCTGGGCCTCAGTGTCCTCATCTGTAAAATGGGGATAGCCACCTCCGCCCTGTTGAAGTTGAAGAGATTAAATTAACAATAGCTAAGGCTCTAAGGCAGCGGTTCTCAACCTGTGGGTCGCGACCCCTTTGGCGATCGAACGACCCTTTCTCAGGGGTCGCCTAAGATCATCCCGCATATCAGATACTTACATTATGATTCATAACAGTAGCAACATGACAGTTATGAAGTAGCAATGAAAATAATTTTATGGTTGGGTCACAACATGAGGAACTGTATTTAAAGGGCCAGAAGGTTGAGAACCACTGCTTAAGGCATCTATGTGACTGAGTCTGTTCTGAGTACTTAAGACCTGGAAAGACTTTAAAATAGTGCTGGGCACAGAGAAGCATTTGGTCAGGGTTGTGTTATCAACTCTTCAGGCCTTGTGTTCCCCCACCTCCTCAAAGCCCCTTTCACCACAATAAACCGACCTTACTTCCTCTCAGCTCCTAGCACTTCCTTATCCATGCAGGTCACATCACTCTTTGACCTGCATGTTGTAAAATTTTTGTCTCTTCCCTCCTCTAAATCTGATCCTTGAGGACAGAGTCCTGCGCTTGTTGGATGTTTTCCCCTCTGTGGCGGGCACTAGCCCAAGCCAGGGAGCAGCTAAGTTAGGGAAGCATAATCCTGCCGTGAGGGTGAACCATGCAGTGCTCTGTCCCCAACCCCAGCTCTGGCTCATTGGCTGTGTCCTGGGGCTCCCTACTTGCCAGCATTCAGGTGCCCCGGGATCCTTGGCTGAGTCCTAATGATCACCTCTTCTCCTCAGAGTGGAGTCCATGTCCCTGGCTGACAGAGGGAACCCTGGAAATATTACTTCACGCTTGGTGGAGAAGGAGAAGGCCAGGGATTGCCTGATCCCCATGGGGTGAGTGTTTACCTATAGCGGTTGCCGTGTCCCTCAGCTCCCCACCTGGCCTGGAGCAGGAGCTCGGGAACTTGGATCATCTTGCAGCAGGTGCTGCCAACCCTGGCCTGGTCTGCTCTGCAGGGACTCGGGACAGGACTCGATGCTGCCCTTTCTTGTACCCTCAGGCCCTCTCTGTGCCTCTGGGTTTCCAAACATGGCCTAGCCTGTTCCTCCCTCCCTGGGGGTTCAGTCACGAGGGATGATGCAGCTGCACCCAATGCCTTGGAAAATCAGAAAGATGAGGAACTAGGAAGCTTTTGTTACTGGACATGCTGGTGAGGGAACTTGGGCCCAGCAGATGCAACATGGGAAGCGTGTTGTCTGCCCAGCATGTTGTTAGCTCTGCTGCCAGAGCTTCTGGGCCACTCGGAGTCTGTGGGCAGGGAATCCTGGCTCCACTTGAAGCTCAGAGAGGGCAGTGCTCGGGCTGCCTCCACACCCAGGGACCCTGTCTCCAAGAGAAGCCCCTCAAGCCAGAAGCCCTGGTCAGAAGGCCTCCCTGTGGCTCTGGGTTCCTTTGGGTTCCCAGGATGAAGGTGGGCTCCACCTACAGTGAGCAGGAAGCTTGGGTGTGATCTTTCCACAGGGGACGTGGGAGTCCTCATCTCCCACATTAAAGCCATCTTCCTGAGGCGCAGGAGGAGCTGGCCAAGAGCCCCCAGGAGTGCCCCTCCCAGACCCTCATCTGCCCCTCTTCTCTTCTGGTCTCTGGTGTTCAAGCTTCTTAGGACCTGAGTGACTCCCTGTCTGTGCCCCTACCTGCGTCATCATCACTGTCTCTGTGGCCCGGACTGGCCTTCCTATCCTCCCGGTGCTGGGTTCCTCCGCCAGGCCAGTCCCAGCTGCCAGACTCACCCACACTGCTGCTTGTCTCCTAGGATAACCTCGGAGAATGTAGCCGAGCGGTTTGGCATTTCTCGGGAGAAGCAGGATACCTTTGCACTGGCTTCCCAGCAAAAGTGAGTGTTGTGTCGGGGGGGAGTGTTTAAAGGCTGACCTGAGTGGTTTCAGATGAGGCTGTCCGAAGACCAATTTCAGGGCAGTGGTTTCCACGTCTCCTGCCTTGCAGGAGGGAGAGGGGGCAAGAGCCAGGGCCAGTGTGCATTCCTAGCACTTCCACATCCTGCTATTGTCTGTTCATCCTGGGCGTCTCCTTCCTACTGGGCCTCAGTTTCCCCATCTGTTCATTTGGGGGGGGGTGTAATGAGGGTCAGGACTCTTCTCTAACTGCTGTGCTCAGGCGATTGGACATGGCAGCCACAGGCTCCTCTGGATAGCCTGAGTGTAAGGCCAGCATTGCTGGGGACCTGGGCATCCCAGCTTCTGGACCTGAGGCAGGGGCTGGGGGTGACATCAGAAGAACCCCAGGACTTGGGGCTCTGGCCAGGGGCAGGCTGAAGCTGGCAAGCCCCAGCTGCCCAGGGAGAGGACAGCAAAGGCGGGGAGTCGCATCTGGCCAGGCGGGCTTCTCTGAGGCAGTGGTTCTTAGCCTCTTGGGGTCAAGTAACCATTTGAGAATTTGGTGAGAGCTATGGATTTCTCCCAGGGGACTGTCCTGGGCACTTGCATTTTGCCTGTGATTGTAAGCATGATCCTAAAATAGGGGACAGATGAAACTGAGCCATTCTGATCAGACAGAAAAGTTGGCAGAATCCGGCACAGATTCCCTGGGGCTCCATCCTCGCTTTGGCATAGAGAGCTGAGCAGGCTCAGTCCTTCGTGGCTGTCACCTAAACGGACCCCTCCCCATACTTTCTTCCCTTCGAGGTTGGGATTGGCCAGGATCTGAAGATCTGAGGTCAGTGGTGAAGAAGGGCCCATAAGGCCTTGGGCCTTCCAGCCCCAGGTTGGGGTAGTGGGGAACCCACACCAGCCCCTCAGAGCTCCCCAAGGCGGGGGTGTCCCCGCACCTAGCATTCTGAGCTGCGTGTCGACCCCAGTGGGGAGGAAGTGGAGCCGGCAGATGTACCCTAGGAAGGAAGGGAGCCTCACTGTCCATGGTGCTCCTCACGCAGGGCAGCCAGAGCCCAGAGCAAGGGCTGTTTCCAAGCTGAGATTGTGCCTGTGACCACCACGGTCCATGATGACAAGGGCACCGAGAGGCGGGTCACCGTGGCCCAGGATGAGGGCATCCGCCCCAACACCACCATGGAGGGCCTGGCCAAGCTGAAGCCTGCCTTCAAGGAGGGCGGCTCCACCACCGCTGGTGAGACTGGGCTGGATGTACTCTGGGAGCCTGAACCACTGGATAGGGCGGGCGTGGGGGGGCTGGGCCTCCTCAGACCTGCTCTGGGGCCTCCTCACCCCTGTGGTTTGCTTCCAGGAAACTCTAGCCAAGTGAGCGATGGGGCAGCTGCCATCCTGCTGGCCCGGAGGTCCAAGGCAGAAGAGTTGGGCCTTCCCATCCTTGGGATCCTGAGGTCCTATGCCGTGGTTGGGGTCCCGCCTGACATCATGGGCATTGGCCCTGCCTATGCCATCCCTGTAGCTTTGAAAAAAGCAGGTAGGCGGCTCCTTCGTGCCCTCGGTCTGGATCCCACTTCTGCGCCTCATGCTGATGCTGGAGGGCGGTGGTCCTGGGGGTGCTGCAGAGTGAAGGTGGGACAGACTAGCACCCCTGCCAGAGCCCTTCCTGACCACACAGCTGGGACCCACTCCTTCATCTGGAACAGAGACGGACACACCAGGCAGCCTAAGGCCAGGGATGGGGCGGGACCTCGCGAGACTGCGAGTCCTGTAAGGGTCAGGGGCCACTGGGTCAGCTCAGGCCTTTCCCCTTTGCCTGCAGGGCTGACGGTGCATGATGTGGACATCTTTGAGATCAATGAGGCCTTTGCCAGCCAGGTGAGCCTCTTTCTCCACGTTGCCCGGGCCCTCGGCAGCCCAGTTGGAGCCAGGGGTGCCGGGGAGGGCGGGAGTGATAGCTGATGGTCTGCCTCCTCGCAGGCCGTCTACTGCATGGAGAAGCTAGGACTGCCCCCCGAGAAGGTGAACCCTCTGGGGGGTGCCGTGGCCTTGGGCCACCCACTGGGCTGCACTGGGGCTCGACAAGTCATTACGCTGCTCAACGAGCTGAAGCGCCGTGGGAAGAGGTGAGGCCGACTGTCCGTGGGGGTGTCCTGGGGGATCCCCAAGCTGGGCACCCGAGGGGAGTTGGGGGAAGTATACTTGCACACACTCTGAAATAAGGATGCAGGGCTGTGACCCCATTTTCCATGAGAGGCTTGTGAAGGGGACCCTGGCCTGCAGCAGACACCTGCCATGTGTGTGCCTAGGTGGGCAGTCAGGGAATTCCATACCCACAGCTTCCATCCATCCTCTGTGCCCATGAACGCCTTGGTCTGCCCAGCTCTGCCTGGTCTGGAGAGAGCTTGGTGGGGCTTCTGCCCTTTCTGCCCTCACCCAGCCAACACGGTGTTCCTTCCACAGGGCATATGGGGTGGTGTCCATGTGCATTGGGACCGGAATGGGAGCTGCTGCTGTCTTTGAATACCCTGGAAACTGAAAGAGGCGCTGCCTACTCCGTTGGAGGCAAGAAAGCAACACTACAGAAGTGACGCCACGTGGGAAATTCGGCGTGGTGGCTGTGGTGGCAGTGGGCAAATCGAGGCCCTTCAGCTAATTTGGAAACTGTGATCACTGAGGACACAGTACAGGGGTGGGTGAGGAACTGGGTTACCCAGGCCACAAGGCCACCATGTAATTCCCGGGGAAGGGGCTTTTGGATGAGGAGTGCAATAGACATAGTAAATGTATGTCAGCTTCTTAGCATGTTTGTCTGGCCGCGGCTCAGTCTGAGTACTGATTGTTAACCACCACAGTCTGCACAGTGAGGTGCCTCAGAGGACAGACGTGCAGGACCTGGGCTGAGACCAGCACCCTCCATCCAGGAGCTGCTCAGAAGTCCTCCAGCCTGTGCCCTGCACAGCACATCTGTCCGGAGCTCTAGGCCATGTTTATTTCCAAAGTTGGCTGGGGGCGCGGTGGCTCTGAGGGCGGAGCTCAGAGCTGGTAGGGTGGCACAAATCTCTCATCGTAAGAGCCGTGGCCCCGGAGCCGCAGGGTGCAGGCCTTCTCGCTGAGCATGCCTTCCACCACCAGCGTGGACTCGTACAGCTCATTGCTCCTGTGGGCCACAGGGGACTGAGGTGAGGGAGGAGTTCCGGCCTTGGCAGTGCCGGGGGCTGGGCGGGGTGGTACCTGGCGGTGAAGAGAACCTGCAGGATGATGGAGGTGGGAGGCCCGTTGACAGATCGTGCCTCCAGCAGCCCACTGCTGGGGGAGACCCTGAAGGCCGCAGACTCCTTGTCCAGCTCCTTCTGGCCTGCACCATGGGGAAGGGGGCACATATGTGGGCAGGTGGCTACATGCACTGCCCCAGGAAGTCCCCTCCCTGCAGAAAACCCCAGGTGGTGTCAGCCGCCTTCCTGGGGTCCTGGGAGCAGTGGGCAGGAAGGACAGCATGGCATACCCATCAGCACAGTCCAGTAGCTCCGGCAGCCACTCAGGTTCATCAGGTAGATCTCCCTGACTCGCTCCTGGTTCACAAAGCAGGTCCCGAAATCCACCCAGCTGGTGGAGAGCTGCAGCTCAGGCACCACCACAGTGGCCCGCAGGGGCACCACCTATGGGGACAGAGCCATTAACTTGATGGGGACTAGGTGACTGCCACTCCCGGTGGGCTCTGAGCCAGCGTCTTGGGGACACACGAGCCCTGCTGACCCCAAGTACTGACACTTCTTTTTTTTTTTTAATTAAATCTTTATTGTTTAGATTATTACAGTTCCTCTTTTTCCCCCCATAGCTCCCCTCCACCCTCACTGCCCCCCTCCCCACTGTCCTCATCCATAGGTGCACGATTTTTGTTCAGTCTCTTCCCGCATCCCCCACACCCCTTAAAAAGAGG